TGACAGGTTACATTACCTTCTGACCTTGGATGACCGACCGTGTTCTTCCATTAAGCTTTTGGGGCCCGGAGTATTTGGTCAGGTCCTTCAGAGCTAATAGTCTGTTTTCATGATGCACACAAGAGCTTAGCTTGCAGGCTGTGCTCTGCAGCTGTGTTTCCAGTCCCGAAGGTCCCTCAGAAACCTTCACATCTGCCCAGCGGTCACCCGAACAGCTCCGTGCACAATGGCAGGAGTGGGGCAGGAGGTGCTCAAGCTGAGAAGCACTGATGTGTGTGTGGACCGTGCTGAAATGATTCCTGGGGCAGAGGCTGTATCCCCAGCTGAGCACAAATCTGAGCGATTTGGACTGAGATGGATGCGATCCAAGGCTCCACCACCTACTTGCTGCCTGACCAAACGGCTGCTCACATTGCCTCCTCTGTAAAATCGGCATATGTTCCTGAGCAGATGCACTGTGAGACCCTGAGTGCTCTGCGGTCAGACCAGATCACGGGCTCTGAGGTTTTAGCATGGTACCTCGCAGATAGCAGGTTTCCAAAAATAGCAGTTATTTTAGGCACCGCCTTCCCTGGCTGGGCCTTCAAACACGAGTGTCCGCGGGAGGAATCACAGATTCCCCTCCCAGCCAAGGAGTGTGACCAGACTTTGAGGGTGGTGGGGTGGGTCTGAGGCTGCATCAGGATGTGGGGCATCAGGATGGCGGTCAGGCTGTTAGAGGATGGGTCTTTGAGCAGGAGTAGAGGGCTGAATGTTTGGGAGACGTCACTGCGACTGCTTCCCAGTACGGGGACAGGATCAAGTCTGTCTTGAGTCCATGGCTCCTAGGATCGGGTCTGGTACATAGCAGGTGTTCAGCAGGTACCTGCTGCATGAGCAGGTGCTGCGAAGTGGGCAAGCAGCCCCTCCCCAAGTGCCCTGTCATTACCGCCCAGTGTACCCGGAGTCAGAAATGCCACTGGACTGGAGAGCTGAGCCTTGAAGCGGCTCTCACCGTCACCCAAGCTCTGCAGCCACATGCAGAGCACTGTGCCTTGAGGGAGTCGGGCCTGAACGCACTCTCCAAATGCCTTGGGCAAGTCTGAGCATGAACGTGTTGGAATGGGGAAGCGGATAGGACCATCGTCCCAGCCCCTGTCCTCTGTACCTCTCTGTCCACACTTGGCTCTTCCACATGCAAGCCCCCAGCCCCTGGGCCTGTGTCTGCCCCGGTGGCCACTTACTCCCATACAGGTGTCTCTGCGTGCAAAAGCTGGACGCAGTTGCTGTGCCGGGATGGGCTCGTGGCAGCCAGGATTCTCAAGCTTTTCTGGACTGTGCACACTGCCTCTGATCTTCCACAGTGGCCTCCTCTGAGCCTTACTTCATAGTGGACCGAAATGAGCATCACCTTGTGTGGGCGATACGGGACACCTCAAGGTCTGCTCAGGGCAGAGTGAAGATAAGTTCTAGACAGAGAAAAGCCACACGGGTGAAACAGGACTTCAGGCAGTTAGCGTCCCAAAGTGGAAAGAAAGAAGTGGGTTTCCCTGGGTCTTAATCCATTTTCTATTGCTATAAAGGATACCAATGATATTTTACTGCTGTGTTGCTATTATGCTTTATTGCTATAAAGGATACCGAATTATAAACAATGGAAGTTTTTTTGACTCACAGTCCTGGAGGCTGGGAAGTCCAAGGGCATGGCCCTGCATTGGCAGGGACCTCTGTTGTGTGTCATAACACGAAACAACAGGAGACCGTGGAACAGTGAGACCAGACTCATCCCTGTCCACCAGGAGCCCAGTCCCGTGGAAACCGTCCCAGTCCTAGAGAACAGCATCGAGCTGCTCAAGGCCTGACCATCCCATAGTACAGGGGCCCTCAGATTTTCACGTGAGTCTTGGTGGGAGCAGTCTGACCATAGCTTCCCTCAAGTGGCCCTGAGGGCACAGTCTCTGAGAAGGGAGCACTCCCAGGATTCCTGGGGTCAAGAAGACAGACTGAGTCAGAGTTTAGAAGCAAAATAAGCCAAGTGTGCTCTGGCTTGTGGTCGCCCACAAATCAACAATCCAGGTAAATAAAGGCACTTTTCCCTCTCTGTGACCTCTCAGGATTCACCTTTTAATGCCTTCACCTGGGCCTACAGCCTTGCTGTCCACACTTGCTGGACCACACCTCCGGGACCGGCACTGGCGGCATTCCTGGGTCTGTGACACTGTTGCGAACCATCGCACAGGGAGGCGTTAGTACCAACTGGTACAAATGCACCTGTCGCTCCCTCCACTCTAATGTAACAATTTCCCTATCTACCCATGTTTAGTAAATTTAATTAGTGTAGAAAAGCAGCTTATTTGGCGAGATGATCAGTTATTAACCTGGGTAAATGACTTCCTTTATGATTATAAATTAAGCATGTTGTGTCTTTTTCAAGCATCACAGTTGTCCTCATAAATACTGAAGGCAGTTGCCGGTGGTCTCACTTGGTTACCTTTCCCATTACTGTTTTATCATCATCCCGGTAGGAGTGGGGAATTCATTCCATCTTAATGACGAAGCAGAAGTGGTGGCAAGAGGCTTATTTCGTGAGGAAACTGTCCCTTGGTCAGTGACTCTGTGGCGGGCGCTACACGGGATGTCCTCAGCTTTCCATCAGGCCTGCTGTCCACAGCCTCTATAAATGGCCTGCACAGGGCTTGAAAGCTGCTTTTGTCTTAATTGCAAATAATTAGGAATCAAATATTTGCCAGTGAAGGCTGATGCCGGTGATAGAGAGAACCTGAGTGTTTGTAATGACTTCTCTGGCCGCAGAGCGGCACAGGTGTTTTCTTAACACAGACCCGCGGCACAGCCCGTGGGAAGGCCGTGGCCATCCAGCTGCAGGCCATTCAGTGTGGGCACCTGGTCCTCCAGGCGATCGCCACAGTCTGTACACAGGTGGTGCAGAGGAGAAGCTCCCACCAGTGGAGGCCCTGGCTGCCTGGATTCAGCGGTCTCCGAAAGCCTCCAGCTCTCTGGGTGCCTTTGCAGCCAGACACGCCTTCCGGTCTCTGTCCTGAATTTCCCTCGGGCCCCTGTGGTAGGCGCAGAAGGAGAAGTAACCACAGAAGGTCGGTGTGCATGGCCCGCACCCTGCTCCCATCCCAGCCCCTAACCTGGTGTTGGAGTGGCAGGGAGATCAGCTCTGAAACCTCTTATGTTTCTTGAAATTTAAGTATCCTGGGGCCAGTGAGGACAGAGCCCCTTTCTCGAGGGAGGGGAAACTTGGGCTTGTGTTGATGACAAATGCGTCATAAAAGGAAGGACCCCCAGGGTGTTAGAGCAGTGGGAGGATCGGCACAGCCGAAATGGAGACACCGCTCTGTGTTAGTTGGTTCGGTCCTGTCTGCCCAGGAACTTTATTGTAACTGTGATCCAGCCACAGTGTTTTGTGCCCTCAGGCTGTCTTGGGAAGGGAAACAGGCTGATATTTTGAGAGTTTGTTAGTTTCTACTAGCAGCCGCCAGCACTTGCTGGGCTAACCCATTTCCCAGCAACCCAGGAGAATCGCTGCTAATGAAATACACTATAGCACAGCGGCCAGAAGCCCGGAGCCTGCCCTGCAGGAGCCTGCTCTGGATCCCTTCCCTGCCTGCCTGCCACCTGTCAGCCACCACAGGTCGGAGGCAGAGGAGCCAGGGAGCCTTCTCAGGGGCAGGTGAATAGTTAGCCAAGTGGATTCAGAGACTGATGAGTCCTGCCTGGGATCTCTGCTTTCACACTACACTGATGTATGCTGACCTTCTAGTTTATTATGGTTCAAGAAAAAGTCAATATTTCTTAGTTTGTTAGGACTGGAGGAATTTAAATGAGTTATTGAGTCAAACAGTTAATTTGCCAATAACTAGGTTTTTTTTTCCTTTCAAATCTAAAGTGATGAAAAAGCAGACTTAACCAAAAACAAGAGAGAGGAGATTCTTTCCCCCCCATCCCTTACACATTTTCAGCCCATGGGGTAGGGCCATTCTGCCTTGAGTATTTTGAGGATTTAATTAAAATTTAAAGCAACGATTTCTGTGGCCATAAAAGCTGCATTGCTGTGTTAATTATTTGCACTCGGCTATCTCTTGGTGCTCCTGAAGTACGCATGTGTTTCCATCCCTGGAGCCTGGCGCTGGTCTGCTCTCTCCATACTGCTGTGGAGTATGGAGATGTGGAATATGGACATGTTGGCTTGGATGCCTGTTTGGCCTTCCGTGCGCCGTGCCCTCCTGCGGCAGGGTGAGCCCGCGGCACTGTCTTCCCAGAATCCTGGTGGCTCCGTTTTGGGTGCGGGAGAAGCCCAAGCAATGAGGCGGCTGCCATTGGCGGGCCCTCAGCCTTCCTGCCCGCAGCCCCAACACTGCGCTGGAAAAGACAAGGTGGGGGGCGCTGTTGTGCCTCAGCTGATGATAGTCGTCATGGAAAACTCTTCTCCCCAGAGGAAAATCTGCCCACCTGGGCTGCCTCCTCCCCACCCTGACCACAGAGAGCCACTTCCTTCATACCCCATACTCCCCTCTAGGCCCTGCAGTGGCTCCTGGTGCCTACGTTATCAAAGCTAGATTCCTCTGCTTGGTTTCCAATCTCCTAGAACCACACTTTGCTTCCCCTTCCGCTCCTTTGTTCGAAACTGCTATTTCCATCTGACTTCCTCCCTGAGACGTGCTGCTGCTTTCCGGAATGGGTTGCAGAGCCTGGCCCGCTCTGTTGTGAAGAAAGCCCTCCTCCCCTCAGCCCACAGGGTCCTCTGAGCCTGACGCCCTGTTCCCTTCTGGGCTCCCGTAGCTGTCTAGGTTCCAGGACAGGCAGGTGTCACGTCTGGGTTGTTTGGAGCAGGTGAGCCAGGACACCTGAGCTCTGCACAGCAAGATGCCCTCCTCCGGGGGACAAGGACTCCACTGAGTTATGTGGCCCTGGCTCAGATAAGCGTTGGCCCATGAGGAAGCCAGCAGCCCCATTCTGCCAGCCTGGGCCTGACTCTCTGTGTTTGTGTCCTGCAGGACTTCCTGGCCATGGGCCGCTGGCCTCCTGCAGGAAGAAACTATGCGGCCGCGGGAGCCGGTGTGTGCTCAGCAGTGAGACCGGGGAGCCCTCCTGCCAGTGCCTGGAGGCGTGCAAGCCCCGCTACCTGCCCGTGTGTGGCTCTGATGGGCAGCTCTACGAGAACCACTGTGAGCTCCACCGGACCGCCTGCCTGCTGGGAAAGGAGGTTGCCGTCATGAACAGCAAGGAATGTTTCCTCAAAGGTAGGGAGACGTTCCTTGCCTTATGCTTTTGGGTTTTGTAATGGATCTTCCAGTGCCCTTTGAGCCAGCGACCTGGGGGCTGAGTCTGCAGGTTATGTGTATGGAGGAAGTAGAGGGAGGGATGGTGCTTTCACCAGCAGCAGACCACATCCACGGCGGCGGGGTCAAAGGATGCCCGCTTTGTGCTGGGGTTGTGTCACAGGAAAAGGGCAACGTCGGTTCCTGGGTTGATGTGGTCAGGTAGAGAGTGCGTGCCGTGGCCGACAGAAGCAGGAACGGGTGGGAACAGGGAACACGGTCCGAGGTGGGAGTGTCGCGGGTAGGGGAGACCCCTGGGGCTGCACAGGACCAGAGACCGGCTCTGGGGAGCAGGAGAAGGGGGAAAAGGCTTAGGAGAGTGAGGTCTGTGTGTGCCTGCGGCGTGACTGGGGCTTCTGTGCAGTCCCCAGCAGTGAGGGGCCGGGCCCCCAACAGTAAAGGGCAGAGCTCAGCCTCGCTGTCCCTGCCCGAGCCTGAGTGACTCTGTGACCCAAGGGAAGCCGTGGCCAGCAGGGAGCGCAGGTGGTGTCTCCAGCGCCTCTGTCCGGTGCCCGTTTCCCGCCCTTACCCGCTGGCCGGGGCTGTGTGGGCCTGGAAAGCACATTAGCCCGTGATGGGAATCGTCTCGGACACTTCCGTGGCTGTGCTGCCGAAATTAGCGCTGAGGTGCTTCAGAATCGCGCGGCGTGCTGTGGAAAGGGGGCCAGAGTGGGCCGGGACCCATCCCCAGTCTGCAAGCGCTGCCCAGCCGTGCCTGCTGACTGCCTGGCAATCGTGCACACTAAAACACTTGACCGGTCGCTCCAGCTCTGTTGGCCATGTTGGATTTTATAGACTGATGTTCTGTTCTCTGGTTTGCAATATCTCCCAAATTGCATCTTTCTGAAGATTTTTATTTCTGCATCAGAGTGTGTACAACCTCCCTCGCCATCGTTTATTCAAACAGCGTTTCTCATTTCACACGAGGGAAAGAACAACAACCACAAAACCTGCAGCTCGAGGGAGGACGGCTTGGGGGTGAGCTGGGGAGTGGGGGGCGAGCAGCTCGGTGCTTGGCTCTGCTTCGTGCTGATCAAATTCTTCTCCAGACCCTTCTGAGGCACAGTCTGTGAATTGCTCAGTGGTGTGGGACTGCTCCCCTCGAGATGCTGCGGTGCTGCCTACGTGTTCCCCAAGACGCCAAGGTGGCACCCGAGCTCCTCTTCTCCCAAGCTCTGTGGCCCTGGGGAGAAGCCACTCCTTCCACTGTAAAATGGACAAGAGGCTGCCTCGGCAGCTCCGGAGGTGGGGAGCAGGAAAGGAGAAGCACAGGCAGCAAAGTGCCGGTTTGGCATTAATCCTGTGTGCCACCATTGCTGTCCTCCTCCAGCACGGCTGCGGGCTGGTGCAGAGGGAGGTGTGAGCAAGGACTCTGCCTAGGAGTGTATGCAGCAGGTCCTGTGCGTCCAGCCTAGACCTTTTGCCCGGGCCTCCAGGGTGTCGGGCTCAGGGTCAGCTCCAGTCCTGGCTGGCAGGAGGGCCGCTCCTCCAGAACACACCCAGGGGGTTATGCAGATGGAAGGCAGGCCAGGCGTAAGGGGAGCTTTGGGCCAGCACTGTTCCACCTCACCAGAACCACGGCTCCAACAGGGAGCAGGGCCAGGCAGATGACGGGGCTGTGCCAGGAGTCAATAACGGGGGTTATAGGGAGAGGAAGTAAAGGGCAACTTCCTGCCGTGCCCCTCTGCTGATGGCAGCAGCACATTTAATGCCAGCTCGAGCACCATGGATGACAATTTGTCACTTCTCCCAAATTTCCAGGGAGTTTTAAAACAGGAAACTTGAAACACTTGTTTTCCACACAAACCAAAGTTTTAATTGTCTGTATTCCATTCTGTGCTCCTTCTAGATTTCACAGACAGAACTCACGATTCCATTCGCTAGGACTTTGTCACCCCCAGAAGCCAGTATGAGGCGCATCCAATGGGGCTGCACGTGCAGAGCAAGGGGAGAGGTGTGGCGGGGGGGG